TGTAAGTTTCTTATTTATGATGTTTATAGGAGAGAGGTACTCAGGGCTGGGTTCATCATGTATTATGTAACTCTATAGTTTGCTCATCAGTTCATTTTTATTAATATTTTATACTAATTTTATTTATTCTTTATTAAGTCTAAAGCTTTCCGAAGTTGTGTCAGATGTTGAACAAGACGAACGTGCAATGTAAAATGTTGATTAACAATTATCAGTGTTTTTTGACAACTCGGTATACAGCAGTCAGTGAGCGTGAAGCTCAGTCACTACTGAACAAGTAAAGCGATTTGACATTCTCAACCTGAACGACACCTTACACGACGCGTGGATTAAATGGACTGGCCAGGGATCAGACATATTAATGTTTATATTATAATTGCTGACTAGTGACAACCAGCCACTGGCCCATTGCTTTGCTCGAACCGGTAAAGAGCGCGTGATTTATTGAAGTTTTTAATTACACTTTTAATACTTGCTACATATTTATGGCACTATATTCATTGTGGCCCGGCATGGCCAAGTGGTAAGACGCTCGACTCGGAATCTGAGGGTCGCGGGTTCGAATCCCCGTCACAACAAACATGCTCGCCCTTTCAGTCGTGGGGGCGTTATAATGTGACGGTCAATCCCACTATTCGTTGGTAAAAGAGTAGCCCAAGAGTTGGCAGTGGGTGGTGATGACTAGCTGCCTTCCCTCTAGTCTTACACTGCTAAATTAGGGACGGCTAGCGCAGATAGCCCTCGTGTAGCTTTACGCGAAATTCAAAACAAACAATTCTTGTAAGATGGGTGACATTTAAGGTATACATCTCTCTTTAAATTTATGCAAGCCACGAGATGTCATTATCAATTTAAATTGTAAGTTGTTCGCTATGTAGATTTTAAAATTTCAAAGTAACTTTTTTATAGTTATGTAGAGTACTCACGTTACGTTTCAATATATTCGAAGGAAAAGATCAGGTTCACAAATCATTTTAAAAAAATGTAGTTTATAGATAGGGTTGTTGAGAACATTAAAACAGCACCTGAATTGGCGAACTTCTAACATTCAATTATAGTTGCATTTCTGTTTATTTTATCAGTAAAAACATGATTTTGATCTTTTTTTTTTTTCTTCTTACCTCTTCGAATTGTATCACCATTCAAAACCAGCAGTCAAATTTATTCACTTACTGTGTTAAAGAAATTTCCGGAACAGCGTCCAACAGACGAGAAAGTGATCTTTATAGCCTGACCCCGGAGCTGAAAAACTGTCCGTTTCCCGCATTTAGCAAAGCAGCAATAACAGACGATTCAACCCGGCTTGTCTTTCATGCTCTTTATGACTCCACAATTCCGTCTCTCTTCGCGTTTACCGGAAGTATATAGCTTTTACCGGAAGTATAAAGACTACTCTCGTAAAGGAAATCTAGTCATTGTTTACCCGGATAACTTTACAATAGACTCCTGACCGAAGAGGCACTTACTCGGCGATAATAAAACACGGAAATTCCGACTTGTCTCTTTTTTCACGTGAATAAACAGCTAAATGTATATATGTAAGTATTACTATTAAATGTTATAGCCTCTCGACGTAAACGGATAAAACTTGTATAACAAAAACCAGTTTCGAAGTGGTGTATTTAAGAGTTTTAAACTCACAAAAAAGAAACCTAACAAATGTTTAAACAGCTCTATTCGATTATGTACCAGCTGCCCAGTGTCGGCTAACAATACGAAGAATTACATTGTGGCGGAATGCTACAAGTTC